TTTGAATAATATTGCATGAGTTCCTTGTTTTTTAATGCAGCATAGTATTCCATTGTGCGAATATACCACAGCTTCTCTAGCCATTCGTTTGTTGATGGTAGACTGACATTTCTTGTGCTTTTCATTAGTAATAATTACTTCTGAACGTTATCAGTCAGTGTTCTGGGCTTTAGGGATTTAGCAGTCAACCAAACCCCTGCTGTTACTGTCATTCTTCACTTCATTCAAGTGGCAAAAACCCCAGATTAAAATAACTTGATAAATCACATAATGCATTGCAGGATTCTAAGTGAAGAGAGATAGTTATAGCACAATGTCAAAGTAGCTTGATTTAGTTTTAGAGAATCAACACACTGTTGGTTGAGAGGGTATTGACTTAGTACTTATGTTTCTTGTTGTTGTTGTTGTTAAGTGCAGTCAAGTAGCAGGCGACTCATGAAACTTCACTGAAAACACTGGAAAGCATAGGATGCCAGTTGTACTACAGTGAAGTTTGTACGTATTTGTGAAAGTAATGCACCGTTTGGAATAATGGTGCCATCTTGTCAGGGGTAAATATTTTTGGCACCAGAAAGCATCCTTTAATTATCCTTTGACTTCTTTGAAGAAAGAAAACTACTTTCTTTGGATAAAACTAATCCAAAAATATGCCGTAATTATATTTGTGCTTTTTTCATAAGACACTTGGAAATTCATTTTGCCATTTCACAGAATAATTCCCCCTTTTTTTGCAGTTTGAATGAAAGTTAACAGAGCAAATGTATTCAGCCATTTATATATTTTTTGTTCAGTGTATTTGCTCTTCTGCTTTTCTTGATTAAATTTGCTTATTTTAGCTGTAGGTACTATCTAAATGAGTTTTGTTTATTTTAAGCAGATGATGGTGGTGCAACCCCCGTACAAGATGAACGAGATTCAGGGTCAGAGGTTGAGGATGATTTAAATGAGCAGCACTCTGGATCAGACACCGGAAGTGTGGAACATCATTCAGAGGTATTGTTTAAACAACATATTTCAGAGAGACTTTTGTCATGTATCCCATAAGATTTATTTAGGAATTGTAGAGACCTGACACTGTGAGAGCTTAGGTTTCAAACTCTAGTAACAGAAGAGTATAAATTAATAGAGAACTGCGTTAAAAATTAATAGACATGATCTAGTTACTTATAAAACTAAAGGGAAAGAAAGTATTGGCAGAGCTTGTTTCTAGTATCAGGCAGTTTTTATCTGTGCCTGTCAATTCAGAAACACAGACCCATTTTAAAAGCAATGTGTTATTGAAGCCATGCATATTTGGTTTTTAAGAAGTAACCAGTTGAGACGAGCTCTGGTGGCCTAGTGGCAAGAAGCTGCACTGCAATCTCAGAGTTGAGTGGTTTGAATCCACCAGATGCTCTGCTGGAGAAGGAGGGACAGTCTCCTTCTGTACCAGTCAGATCCGATTTGATGATACACACACACACACACACACACACACACACACACACAATAAAAGTTAATTGAAGGGAAGCATTAAAAAAAGGAATTATCAGTTGAAAGTTGACTAGATGTAAATAACACAAAATTCATATTAAGATTTAGGCTTTTCCTTTTGAACTCTTATTATAGTGGGACTTTTGTATAGAATACTGAAATAGGTAAATATGAAATTATTATATATTATTAAAGTTTATATGTAAAATAATGGAAAAGTAAGATTGAAGAATTTGATGCATTTGAATTATGGTCTTAGTGAAGAAAATAGAATATGCTGGGTACTGCCATTAAAAGGAACAAATTGTCTGAAGAAATAAAGCCAGATGGCTGCTTAGAAGCCAGGATAGCCTCATTTAACTTTGGGTATGATATTAAGAGAAGTACATCATCAAATACAGAGTCAACAAAAAAGTGGTGATCCTTGGCAAGATGAATTGACACATTGGCTGTAGCTATGAGCTCAAGCATACCTACTGTTAACAAGGGCCAGGTAATATTTCATTCTGTTGTCATTGATTATGCAAAGGCATTTGACTGTGTGGATCATAACAAACTGTGGCTGACTCTGAGAAAAATGGGAATCCCAGAACACTTGATCGTGCTAATGCAAAACCTATACTTGGACCAAGGGGCAGTCTTCAGAACAGAGCAAAGAAACATTACATGGTTCAGAGTTGGTAAGGGTATATGCCAGGGATGTGTCCTATCTCCATACCTTTTCAACCTATATGCAGAACAAATTATATGCGAGGCTGGGCTGTATGAGGAGAAGTGTGGCATCAGGATTGGTGGAAGATCCATCAACAATCTGTGATATGCAGATTACACAACCCTGCTTGCTGAAACTGAGGAGGACATGAAGTGCGTGCTGCAGAAGGTCAAGGATTGTAGCCTCCAATATGGATTGAGGCTCATTATCAAGAAGACAAAGATTCTCATCACTGGACCAATTGAAAGCATCAGGATGGATGGTGAAGCGATTGAGATTGTTCACAGTTTTAGTTTGCTTGGCTCCACAGTCAACACTGCTGACACCAGTAGCCAGGAAATTATAAGCTGTATTGCAATGGGAAAGTCTGCTGTTAGGGACCTCTCCAGGGTACTGAAGAGCAATGACATCACTCTGGAGACTAAGGTGCGTCTGATGCAGACCATGGTCTTTGCAATCACTTGTTATGCATCAGAGAGTTGGACAATGACTAGGGAGGATAGAAGGAGAATTGACTCCTTTGAGCTGTGGTGCTGGAGAAGAGTATTGAATGTACCATGGATTGCTAAGAAAACAGATTCATTCTGGAGAGTGTTAAACTGGGCTGCTTCTTGGAGGGAAGGATTCTGAGGCTTTGTCTTAACATACTTTGGACATATTGCAAGGAGGGACCAGTCCTTGGAAAGGGACATCATGCTTGGGAGGGTGGAGGGACAGCACAAGAGGGGAAGACACTCTATGAAGTGGATTGAGATTGGCACAGGACAGAGCAGGGCTTAGAGCTGTTGCAAGCGACTTGACAGCACATAACAACAGCAATAACAACAGCAACATAAATAGAATCACTGAGTCAGAAATGAGTGATGCCCTCTAATAATAATATTGGTACAGAACGCATATAATTTTAAAAGCTCCTTTTGTTTAATAATAAAAAGATTTGATTTTGTGTATAGCATTTCAACATATTTTGTATAATATGTAAATATTTAAAAACTAGTATATCTCACAGATGTAACAAAAAAAATTGGGATATTTTTCAGTATGTCTTCTTTGAAATAAACATGAAAATTTAGAGATAACTTTTATTATTAAGGACTTTATGTGTTACATAGCTTTTTTAGAGATTATGTCATTGATTTTGTACTTTGACATGTCATTAATATTTTCATATACCGAATAGACCTTTGTTTGAGTGAGTCCCTGCTATGTGTCACTGTTGCCTAGTATTGTGAGACTTTGCATTCACAGGGAATGAGAAAATCACCATAAAGTTGATTCCAATGAGGTAGAAGTCATGCATACTTCCTTTTTTCCAGCTTTTTTGCTTTTTCTGCTATCAGAGTCTCCCCCTCATGGCATACTGTGTACCTCTCTCATGAGTTCAGTTATTGGCTATGTTGACCTCACAGCTCACAGGCCGTAGTCATGATTATGTGGTTTTTTTAGGTTATAACTCAGGATCAGGATGGATTAGAAAACAGTAGGAGCCAACTCAAGAGACAGGATTCAGTTCATCAGTCAGGAAACCCAAGGCTCCTTGATTGTGTTGTAGGCAAGCAGCCATTATCTTGGCCCCATCTACACATGGATCTTTTCTCATTCTCTTCCCTGCTGAGGCAAGTGTTACAGCTCTTCTCCCCCCCACCCCCAATATTAATACAGTATGCAGGTTGACTACATTTGTGGAAGAAATTGTTGGAGAAGCCCAGTTATTAGCAGTCAAAATTAGGTCGGGGCAGATGGTGGGTCAGATCATCAATCACTCACATGCAACTTCAAATTGAGGCCAAAGAAAATGAAAAGAAATCCATTGGAACCAAGACATGATCTTGAATCAGTTCCATTGGAATTTCATGATCATATTAAGAATTTGAGGCTTTGAATACCAGTGATAGAAGAATACCAGTGATAAAAGACCAGATGAGCTGTGGGGTGATAAGAAGGATATCCATGAAGAAAGCAAAACGCCATTATAAAAACAGAGGAGAAAGAAAAAAGCGAAATGGATGCCAGAAGAGACTCTAAAGATTGCAGTGGAATGTCAGTAAGCCAAATCTAAAGGAAACCATGTCTAAGTAAAAGAGCTGAACAGATGGTTTCAAAGGGCAGCTCAGGAGAACAAAGCAAAGTGTTATAATGGAATGTGCAGAGAGTTGGAACTGGAGAGTAAAAAGGGAAGAACTTGCTCTGCATTTCTCAATCTGAAAGAACTGAAAAACAAATTTAGGCATATCTCAATGTTGAAAGATTCTAGGGCAAGGTACTGAATGACCCAGAAAGCATCAAAATAAGATGGAGGGAATACACAAAATAACTGTAGTACCATATGAACAGGAGCTTATGGTAATGAAAGAGGAAGTGGAAGCTGCATTGAAGGCATTGCAAAAAATAAGGCTCCAGGAATCAATGACTTGTTTCAGTTAACAGGTGCAGCCTTGGATGCACTCACTGGTCTATGCCAGGAAATTTGGAAGATGGCTGGCTGTCTGGCCAGTGGATTGGAAGAGGTCTGTATTTTTATTCCCAAGAAGGTTGATCCAAATGAAATGTGAAAATTATTGAACAATATCATTGATATCACACGCTAGCAAAATATTGCTGAAGATCATTAAAAAAACGGCTGGAACAGTACGTGGATAGAGAAGTGCTTGAAGTTCATGTGTAGAAGAGACCATGGTACCAGGGATATCATTGCTGATGTCATATGGATCCTAGCTGAAAGTAAGGAATACCAGAAGAATGTCTATTTCTGCATTATTGACTATGTAAAGACATTTGACTGTATGGATCATGACAAGTTGTGGCTGACATTGAGAAGAATGGGAATCCGAGAGCACTTGATTGTACGCATGAGGAACCTATAACTGGACCAGGAGGCTGTAGTGTGAATGGAACAGGGGAGCACTGCATGGTTTGAAATTGGGAAGGGAGTGCATCAGGCATGTATTCTGTTTCCATACTTGTTCAGTCTCTATTCTGAGCAAATTATCTGAGAGGCTGGACTCTTAGGAGGAGGAGTGTGGCATCAGGTTTGTATGGAGTCTCAATAACGTGTGTTATGCAGATGACACAACCTTGCTTGCTGAAAGTGAGGATTTGTGGCACTTGCTGCTGAAGATCAAGGAAGGCAGCCTTTGTATGGATTGTGTCTAAGTATCAAGAAAACAAAGTTTCTTACCACTGTACTAATGACTGTGCTATGATGCATAGAGAGGAGATTGAAACTGCCAACAGCTTCATCTTGCTTGGATCCACAATTAACATCGTTGGTATGAGCAGTTAGGAATTAAGGAGATGCATTGCAATGGGAAAATCTGCAGTGAGGGACCTTTCCTTAATATTGAGGAGTAGTGATGCTGTGATGTCAGTTTGAGGACTAAGGTGCATCTGACTCAGGCCATGGTCTTTCCAGTAATAACTGGAAAGCTATGCATCTGAGACCTGGACAATGAATAAGGATAACAGAAAAAGAATTGATACCTTTGAGCTGAGGTGTCGGAGAGAGCACGGAACATTCCATGGATGGCCAAGAAAATGAACAGATATGTCTTGGAGAGGGTTCCGCAGAGTGTTCTTTGGAGGCAAGAATGATGAGGCTTCGCCTAACATACTTTGGACATACTGTTAGGAGGTGCTATTCCTTGGAGAAGGACATGATGTTGGGAAGGGTGGAGGGTCGGCAAAGGAGAGAACGACCCTCATCCAGGGTATTGACAAGGTGGTTGCTGCAATGGGCTTTTGTGTGTCAGGAAGTGTGAGGATGGCACAGGACAGGACTGGTTTCAGATCTTTTGTTCATTGGGTCGCT